ATTTTTGAAAGAGGAAAATAAAAAGACTCGACTACAATTTTGCATATCGATGCTTGAACGTGATAGCATACCACATGATCTGAGCTTCATAGGAATCTATAATTTTGTCCACATTGATGAGAAATGGTTCTACATGACGAAGAAGACGGATAGGTACTACTTGTTGCCAGACGAAAAAGATCCATTGCGTACTTGCAAAAGCAAAATTTTTATAGCAAAACTCATGTTTTTGGCCGCTGTAGCTCGCCCAAGGTTTGATGCACAAGGAAATGAGACTTTTTATGGAAAAAAATGGGGTGTTTTCTTTTGTTACGCATGAGCCAGCTAAGAGAAGTATCGTGAATAGAGTTACGGGTACGCTAGAGACGAAACCAATAACTTCGGTGAACAAAAATGTTATAACATCATACTTAATTGAAAGAGCCTTGCCAGCTATCAAGGAAAATGGCCGAGAGAGGATGCATAGGCCATCCAATATTTATTCAGCAAGATACTGCACGAACACACGTTGATCGCAATGACGAGCTATTCCGTCGAGCGACTTCACAAGATGGGTTTGACATTCGTTTAATGTCCCGACCTCCAAATTCTCCAGATTTAAATGTTTTGGATCTTGGGTTTTTTATTGCAATATAAAGAAACCGCCAAAACTGTAGATGAGCTTTTTGCTGTTGTCCAAAGATCATTTCTTGGCTTTTCCTTCGACGAAGTCCACTCGGATATTCTTAACATTACAATCGTGCATGATTGAAATTATGAGAGTTAAAGGTTCGAATAGATATAAGATTCCACATATTAAGAAAGAATGATGGAGAGAGAGGGTCAACTTCCTACTCAATTAAAGTGTAATTCTGAATTAGTGCAAGAAGTCTTTAATTATCTAAGTTAACTTTTGCTTGCAATATTATGTTAAATTATGGTCATGGATTTTACTTATTTATTGGAACCATTTTTTTAATTATAAATAGTTTGAGGGGTCTCTGTTATAGCCTAAAAGATTTTCTTTTTGCAAAGAGTTCTACAATTTACAGTTGCAACAACAAGACCCATAATCATAAAACATACACCATAAACATACACATAAACAAATTAAACAACACATGGCAATATAAACCAAAAGGCGCACCCTGGTAACTGCATCATCTTGCAAATACAAGAAATTTGTTAAACCATATATTAGAAAGATTTCTATAAAAAAATCTCAAAGAGAGGAAAACAAAAAAACAAAAAAAACAAAAAAAAATACGATGGAATTCACACATGGACTATCGTCCAATTCAAAAAACTGAAATACAATGGAATTCTCACAAAAAATAAATTACAATCTTAATAAAATTTTGGTAGGTAAATCTTTAACATAACCCTAATTACTTTACGAACTTCTTCTTTTTCAAAAGTTGTTTTTCTTCATCTTATTCTTCGTAGGGAAACTTATTCAAATCGAACTCATGATCAGAATTAAAAATCTTGGAGTATTGAATGAACATTGAATTTTTTTCAGTCTATATTTTCTTATTTTCTCTGTCCATGAGAGAAAATGGGTTCAAAAGATCCATCCAGTAATGTTCTTAAACTACAATTTTTTTTATTGTTCTTTTCAACGTGGACTGTGAAAAAAGTTTTGGAATCTGTTGATTTTCTTCAAAATTTCACTTTCACCATAGAAGGATTAATATGAGAGAGAAATATATATTCCATTTAATTAGTGTTGGAGAATTTATTAAGGGTAAATAGGGAAACTGAAAAATTAATAAGAAAACTGAGTAGTTAAACGTCATATAATTAGGGACAAATAAAGTCTCTCCAAATCGTCATGTATAAAGGGACAGAGGGAGTACAAAATAGCCTCAATTATGTAGTGAGAAAATCATAAGGAAAACTAGGTGCTGTAGAAAATGTTCCAACACCCGAAGCTCTGTGCTCTCAACTCTCTGTAGAAAATGTGAGAATTGAACTAAGTTCTTCTCCTATTTATAGAATCGAGAGCTCCTTATCCCGCACAAAATAAACACACTAGAAGAGATAATTGGTTAGTGAGATAATGAGATAGTAGAATAATTAAACACATGCTTACATAATTACCCACGAAGCTAAAAATAACCGCCCACTAACAAATAATTAGACAACCGATTATTATTTAAATAAATACATAAAATTGGTTTAGTAAATATAGGACATTTTATTATAAAAAATCAAAAGTTAATATATATCCCATCTTATTTGTCAAATCCCTTTCTTTTAAAATTTTTTTAACGACATGGAGAATAATATCACATGAAGAGTTTTAGTAAACGTAGACACTTTATTTAGAAATTCAAAATCAAGTATATCTCACTTTATTCTTTCAAACTCTTTTTTTATAAGTCTCCATCGACATTACGTTGGAAGAATATAACACAATTAATCATCACTAATCATCAAGAACATAAATTTATTGGTTTTGGAGGATGATACAGCTGGAAGTGAGGTAAAATAATTCATTTTGGTGCGAAAAAATTTCTTGTTTTCTGTGCCAAATTTCCCCTCTTCTTTTTTATGTGCCGGATTTTATAATATATATTAATTTTGTTACTAATTTGGACCAGGATCATCTCGAGACGTTTAACGAAGTCGATTATAATGAATATTTTCCATCGGAGAAAATATTTTGTAGTATAAACGAATTTAAAGTGTTCCTTCAGATGTGTTTGAGATTGAAAATTATAGAGAATAAATTTAATTATGTAGAGAGTTAATGATAAATATTGGATGATAATTAGTTTTTATGTTAAAATGTCTATAGCTACAAAAATACGTTCTTAAATAGGAATAAAAATTAAAAGTAAAAAAAATATCCTATATTTACTAAAAATCGTACTGTATTCATCATTTCCCTTGTTTTTAATAGTCAAATATCCAACTGCATTATTTCCAATTTTACTCTTACTAATTAATGCTAAAAGAACTAATCAGACGGATGATATGGTAAATTTATATTCTTTTTTTCCTAAAACCTATACACATTTATAAATTTTCTTAATATATGTGGACTAACCCAAAAACATAGTCACCCTTCTGTTTGCTTTTTTTCCCTTTACTTGCTTCAGCAATATATTTTTTCTCATATTAAGTGTTACTTTATAGTTTCAAATCAAAATTAATTTTTATTTTACAGTTTTAACTTTTAACCGAAACACAAATGATAAATTAATGGAATGAGAAAGAAAAAGAGGAAGAGAAAGAGAAGGTGAAGTCACAAAGGGGTAACGTGTCAAATAAGAACATTGTTTGCTTTTTTTTTTTTTTTTTTTTTTTTTTAAATTAAGGTTACTTAATATTTTTTTGTAATTAATGTGCAATTAGTTTAAATACATTTAAAAGGAATAATATTTTCTCTTTTTGAATGTAGACTGACTGATTTAATGAAAGTTTACTATAGTCATTTTAGGTTTTTGTTTTCAATATTTAGTAACTTGAGCTCGGATCGTTACTTTAAAGGCTTGAGTTCGAATACGAGTTTGATATTACTTTTCAATACTATTTTTATTAATTTGTGTTGTATATATTGATTATTATATTTGTGTACATCTCAAAAAAAGAAAAAAAAAAACATGATATATGAGCTTGTAAATAATTAAAAATAAATTCGAGTTTAAGCTTTATTCGTTTCCACTCATATATTAATATGAACATACATGACTTGCTTGACTCTGCATATTTACACTCCTAGACAAAAAAAATATCATCTTTCTATTAATGAATTACATAAATGAAGAATTTAATGAGCAATTACATTGTTTGCAAAAACAATTGATGAATATGTTTAATATAGTATCATAAAAAAGATAAACATTGAAACTCATTTTTCCACAATATAGAAACTAATACTCCCTCTTTCCCTTAATAATTGTCACTTTTGTCATTTTTTTATGTTTCAAATTATTTGTCATTTTACTATTTCCAATGAATTATTCATTGTAATTTTTCAATTTTGCACTTCTCACTCATAATTAATTAAAATATAGTTAGTTAAAAATCAATTAATGACATGGGCATATTAGTGATTTACTATACTTTTTGTTAATATCTATGCCTATTTATTGATTTTCTTAATATGTGTGCAACTAACAAAAGTGACAACTATTGAGGGAAGGAGGAAGTATTATAATTATCGCACTATTAAACTATGATGGTGCAATATTTGGACCTCCAAGACCTTTCTTCAATCCCAACTCCTTCGATCGTCGGAAAGTCCACCTATCGCTGGATTTTAGGCCGTCGGCGATGAGATAGTAGAAACATAATAAGAGAGAACATCAATTATTACTTTTTTTTTTTCATGAATGTGCCCATAACCCTACTGAGATTCTTACAACTTGCTTTTATAGAGAGTCATTTATGGTTCTTATGACTGCTTCAATCAACGACCCATTTCCTTATTCAATTACGGAAATTGATCTCAAATCTCATCTTCCAACCGGTTCGCCGCCGCGTGGCTTGCTCTCCCACATATTCCCGCGGGAGTTTTGGCGCGAGCTTTTAATCAACTTTAACCGTAAGGTTCGAGCGAACCATTAACCCATCTTTATTTTCTCCATGTCGTTGGGCCTTCAAACCACTATGTCGAGAAGGTGGGGTATGGTCCAGCGCCTGATTGAACCCCATCACTTAGTTATTTATAAAAAATGCTCATAAAGCTCGTATACCACAATCACAACAATTACATTCTTGTTCGAATATTTGGAAAACAAATTCAAAAACTATAAAAACAAATTCAAAAAACAATTTTTTCAAACTACAAAATTCAAAGTAAAAACTAAAATGAAATTTGTTTTTAAGGTATAATAATAATTGTGACACCCCCCATTTAGAGAGAGAGAGAGATTCATTCTATTAGTACTAATATATATACACGTCTCCTCTCTCTCTCTCTCTCTCTCTCTCTCTATCTTTCTCTCTCCTCTCTCTCTCTCTAAAATGACACTACTACGATGAGTATGTAATTGATTTGGGGCATTTGTTTATTTCTCCTGATTTTCCCATTTCGCGTTGTATTCCCCAAACACCAAAACAAAACCTCTGTCTCTCCCATTCTTTCACACACACACACACACACACACCGAACAAACCCCTATTTACACTGAAACTCTCGAGTTATTGCTTTTGTTTGATGGTGTTTTTCTGAGCCCAAAAAAAAGAAAAAAAAGTTGAAATTAAAGCCGGGATCTTGTCCCTTTCTACAAATGCTCCTTGATTTTTGTAGGGGGCAAGGTGAAAAAAAAGAAAATTATATCATGAATTGAAGTTGAATTAAATGTGATAATCTAGTCTACAGTTGGTGGGCTTTCAATTGAACTAAGTTGCGAAAATTGATTTGGGGTTTTTGTTTGTTCGGGGAATGTTGGAATAATTTCTCGATCCGATTCTTCATTGGAAAGCAAAAATTTTCAATTTTTTTTTCTTTCTCTGCTTTGGCTTTTTGCTGAAAAGTGCTCAATTTAGGGCTTTTTTTTTTTCTCTCTTTTTTTTTTTTTCTAATTTAATTTTTCCTCGGGGTAGTTGAATCGGGATTTGGTTTTTCGCCTCTTTGGAATTTAGGGTTTTCGGTGCTTCGTGAGATTGGGTTTTTACTGATGGCGGATTTAATCTAGGGTTTTCGAATCTGATCAGCTTGCTGGGGCCGGATTTACAGTTGGACTTGGGGTTTTGATCAGCAAATATCGGAACTTGAAGGATTCAATTGCAAATATCCGGGGTTTTTTTCCGGCACTTTGCTGATTGGGAATTATCTTATGGGAGTTTGGCTTTTATCCTAAGGAGCTTAAGAGAAGCCTCTTTCAAGTGTAAGCATTGTAATTGCTTCGGATAATTTGTTTTTTTTTTGACAAAGGGTATGGAAGAGGATTGTTCACACAAATATAATTAATATGGCACTGGAAAAACAAGCTTGTTTTCGGAATTTCTGTTGAAAATAAGTAGTGGGTGTTTTTTTGTTTTAGTTTTTCTTCTATTCGGTTGGGGAATGATTTTGGGATTCAATTTTGGTGATAAGGTTGAGGAAGTGAAGGTGATGATCGACAAGTTTTTCGGGAGATTTTTTTACTACTGCCAGAGCTACCGATACCAGCAATTTGTATCCTGAAATTTGTTGCCAACTGTGTTTCTCTCGTTATCGTCGGGTCTGCATTCAGCGATTTTGTTTTTTTTTACTATTTTATTGCACTGAGGCATGGTTAAAAGTGCGGTGTATTTGAGTTGAGGTTCAAGGCGAATTTATTGGGTTTTCCGGTATAGGAAGCACCGTTTGTGTGTGTGTAAACTAGTGGAAAGAAGGGGTATATGAAGGAATAGTGAAGCTGGAAATCAATGTGGTGTCATGGTGCATGGACAGAAATATAATCGTTGGTCTGTTTCCATATTGGACCACTGCTATTCGAGGAAAGTAATCCAAGAATACCGTTTTCTTGATTGTAGTTTTCTTCTTTACACGCGAAAAGTGTGCAATGTCTCGCTGCTTTCCATTTCCGCCACCGGGATATGAAAGAAAGCATATACCTGAAGATTTGGACTTGTTGAAAGAGGTTTGTTCATTTTCTTTCTTGACTGCTATATTATTTATTACACGTGGATTCTTGTTATCGCACGCCAGCTATATTTGGATATAATAAATAATGAGTTTTCATGTTATGTTCCGCTTTGATCATTAATAAGTAGGCCTGTCCTGATTTTTACGCTGTCTAGTGGATAGTTTCTTAAGTTTATTGACAATAAAGTTTTATGTTTCCGTAAGTTTTGGTTCATACGGAGCATGTTATTACCCTACACTCTACATAATAATAATTCATACTGATGTATTGGTTAAGTGAAAGGACATGGGTTTTTAAAAGTTTCGAGCTTCTACAGCTTACGAAACCAGTAAATTGGTCTTGATCGTGTCTTTTACGAAATGCTTTGATTGGTGGTGAACTTTGTTTTTGCTGCTGATCATGCTTGAGTAGCTTTTAACTTTGTTGGACTCTTCTTAGTTAAATTTTCTCGTGTGTGGTAGAGGAACACTGGTTCGTTAAATAGGAATATAGATTCGTACGCCGTCTTCAATGTGATAGAGAAAATAAGGAGTTCCTGAGTAATACCTGCTTTTATGGCTGGTCAATTGAACTGTTAACTTGGATTTTAAGAATACTAATGAGGTAGGTGTCGTGAGCTTTGAGAAAGATGATTGCAATTATTGTGTTTTGTAATGATCTATTGTAGATTTAGTGATTTCATTGCATGCAATAGCTCAGAGTTACTAAAAGTATGTGCTAGGATTGAGCAAAGAAGTTTTGAGTAAATACATATCCCATATAAGGAAAAAGCAAGATGCCCGTAATCTAGAATTGAATCGGCCTTCCATCTGTCGGTTCCTAGTGAAATAGCCTTTATATTGGATTCTGTGAGCCTCAAGAAATCCTAAATTTGTAATTTGACGACTTCCGGTTGGGATATCTATAAATAGAAAACTGCTGATTTTGGAAATTTTATATGTTGAAAGATGTCGTAACATGAAAGACGTCGTAACATGAAAGACGTCTGGACAAATCTGAAAAATAGTCTGCCAAAATATTTGGGCGAGTAATACCAACTCTTTTCATCAATTTTAATTAATAAGAAATAACGTTATCCCAAAGAACTCAAAAATCTACTTCAATGTGATCATGAAATAAAATTATTAGATGATTTTGAAGTTTGAACTATTTCAGTAAAGCTTTATGCTGAGTTCATGATGGTTACGTTTGCTTTCTTTTGTTTTTCCCTTTTTGCCCCTGGTTCTTTTTAGCACTTAGTTTAATGGAAAAATAACTCAGTTTTATACTGTCAGCCACATTGTGAAATAAATCGGATTCTGGTGTAATGCATTCCACTAATTTCTCGTGTAAACTAAAAAAAAAGATATATGTTAAAAGAAATCAGAACCTACCAAAATCAGAGTCTGAAAAAGTTGATGACTGCTCTGTTTACTAATTGGTTATTCTGGCTCTTGAATTTTTTGTGTTACAAGTGATGAATGGTATCAAATATTTGAGATTTGACATTTATTATGTCGTGTATCAGAAGTTTTTTGTTTTACTGAAACATTAAATTTTCTTCGTTCTATAAGTAGAACTTCATTTGGTTTTAAGCCACGTTTAGGAATAATAAGTGTATAATACTTTGTTTAAAACTTAAAGCTGCTTAGCCTCCGTGTCTTTATGTGAAGGGTTTAGCAATCCAATTTCCGGTTGAATAGCTAATTCTAACAAATACGAAAAGGTCAATTTACAGTGGCACTTAATAGACGCAGTATAAGCCTGTATTCCCACACATTTGCCCCGTTTTTTGTTTTTGGGACAAAATTGAGTGGTGGTGGCAGTTAGTCATACCTCTAACTTTGTGATTTCTGATGACTGATGCCTGTGTATAATCAGCGAATGTATTTGATTGCTTTGTTTTAGTGATAATGTGATTAAATACTGTAGTTTTGAGAAAGCGAGAGAGCATTAATGTAAAGCATGTGATTGATTGATTTGGTAGTAATTTTCCGAGATCTTATACGTTTTGCTTATATTTCACTGGCAGTATGAGCCAGTTCATATTGAGTCGTAGAGGATATTCCCTGCTTCTCGATCTGCTCTTCAATGCATTGTTCATAATGAACTAATTTCCGAGAAACCAAAAATTAATACTTCACATGCATGAGTTTTTCAGTTCATGCAGTTTTGATTATACAATACATTTCTATTGCTGAACGGTAATTTTATGCTAAAGCTGGTCTTCCTACCACTTTAATAAAGTCAATCTTCTTTTCTCCTTCCTGATTTTAGTTTTTTAGTTGAAGAAAAATATTTTCTGGGGGCGTTTGGGTGGAGGGGTGATGAAGTAAGCTCTTATTGGTTGTTAGTTTATTGTAGAGGGGGGCTATGAGTACAAAATCAGACTTGCTTAAGTTGAAAAGGTAGAGGTAGGCTTTCTAGAACTAAATAGTGTAATAACATAAAAGCTTGACGTGACATTGGACAAAATATTACGTGAGATTACATGGCACGGCATCTATGCGAATGAAATGGAAGTTCCGGGAATACATCACAAAATGATTCCCCTCAAACCGTTTATGTGTGATGAAAAGTGTTTTGACTTGCTATTCAAACTAATGAGCCGCAAGTATGTAGCTAGTGTCCAAGTCTCGTGTCCTAGTATTTTTTATCGTTCGATTATAGTATGATAATTGTCTCTCGTATTATAGTATTTTTTGTGGCAATTATTACCTTTTATTCACTGTATGGTATCATATAGTATTTTAATGGCTCGTGTTGTCGAGCTCCTTTATGTTTTTGTACATTTTTTTAGTGTAGAAACTTATTTCATAGGATTTCTATTTTACGCGTGAAAGTTTCTTGATTTCGGTTTTTTTGAGCATTACATGAATTCGCTTTACCCAAATTGAGAATTGTTGGTATAATTTTGCATAAAGCTGGAGCTGCATACAAAATGTGTATGACACTTCATTCTTTCATCTTGTACGTTGTGGTTTTTGTCTTCAGACAGAATGTGTTAACAATTCTTCATGTTTCCAGGCGAAGCGCAAGGAGAAGAAGCACAAAAAGGAAAAAAAGGACAAGGAGCGGAGCAAAGATAAATCAAAGAAGGAAAAAGATGGAGGCGACGAAAAACACAGAGATAAGAAAGACCGAAAAGGAAAAGACAAGGACAAGAGCAAGAAAGAAAAGAACAAGGACAAGAAAAAGGAAAAAGAAGACCACGGCAAAGACAAGGAGAAAAGCAGCATCTCAGAAGAGTCAACTGTCGCTGCAGAAAGTCAACCGAAGCTTAATCCAGAAGGACACCACACCAAAGATCGAAGCAGCTTTTCGAACGAAGGGGAATTTTCTGGCTTATTATTCCAAGGTCATAAAAGGGGAAACGAGGAATCGAAATTTGTGCTTGAATTGGATAGGAGGATCAGAGAAGAAAAGGGTCAAGGAAGTCAATTGCCCGAGAGACTTACATTTGAGGACAAAAAGGATCAAGAAAACGGCGATAACAAAAACAAGAGAGTTGATAGAAAAATCGATCCTTTTGAACTCAGAAATGAGTTTAGTGGAAATACGAACGTGCAAAACCTTATGCCGACTCCCAAAAATAAGGTTGAGGGGATTCCCAAACCAGTGGTCGAACAAAATGGCTATAGATTGGAAGATAAAGAGAAGCACAAGGAGAGTGGTGGTGGAATTAAACAGGTGGAAAAAAAGAAAGATAGGGATAAGGAAAGCCGTGAGAAGAGAAAAGACGGAGAAAAGGAGAAGAAAAAGAGTGAAAAGTCGAAGCGGAAAAAGGAAGAAAAGAAAGGCGAGCTGGACAAGTTGAAGGATGATGGCTTTACTGCTAATAAAAGCGTTGATCTGTTGAAGGAGTCTAATAGTAATGCTGTTGTTAATGAAGGAAATATAAAGAAACGAAAAGATATGGGTGCAAACGGTTTTCTCCATGGTGAGTTTCTATTTTGTTAATTACTCGAGAAATTTTTACTGAAAAAAAAAGAAAAATATAAAAAAAGGGAAATTCTTGTTATGAGTTCCTATTTATTGGAATTTTCTGTTGAAGTTGATGATTGAGTATCTGGCTTGTTTACAGATAGTGAAACGAGGCCTCATAAAATTCAAAAGCCTGCTTTTCCTCATCATTCGACAGAGAATGGAAGGAAACTCGAGAAACTCGAAAAAGTCGAACCTTTCCCAACTCCAATTAAACCCTCTCAGGACAAACAAGCTGTTGTTCCTAATCCTAACAGTGATCGAGTGGACCACCACAAGGAGCGTTTGATGAATGGCATTATCGAAATTCCGAAACCATCTCCACCTAAATTAAATCCCTCTCCTGCAACAGCAAAAATTGCTGAAGCTTCAAAGATTAAGGCTCGAACAGTGTCCAAGGTTGAGGATCCAATTGCCACATCATCAAGGAGGCCTCGGCCCCCGCATCCCGATTCCAAGTATCTAGCCGAGGTACTAACTGTGCCCAAAATGTCAATGGACTTGTCTGAAAATGATGACCAGGACTGGTTGTTCAGCAAGAAAGCTCCAACAAAACCTAAGACTGAATCAGTGGGTCCCGACGAGGATCTGCGTGTATGGTCAGAAGCTGTACATATCGAATCAGCTGATGTCATCGCTCTGCCTTATGTGATTCCTTATTGATTTAGATGCACGGTGAAAAAAACTTTTCCAGAAAAAAGAACCAAGGCCCATGATGACCTGGCACATCTGGCATTTTGTTTAATGCTGACGTGGCGAAGCCCTGCATTCGTCGGGTTGGAATGAGTTGGCGATTGGGGTGGTGGTTTTTAGTATGGGTCTAATTCTGATTTGTATTTAAATTGCAGGAGGTACTTTAGATGACATTGAGGAGAGATGCATTGATGAAAAGCTTCTACGATTGGTCGAATTTGGAGGAAGCTGAAAAATGTATTAATGGGGTCGAGAGTGTAAGTTTTTAGCTCTTTCTTTATTAGTTTCGCGTCACCACAATTTTGATTTTGTAACGTAGAACTCGTATTTATATGGAATGTGAGATAGGAGGTGGGGAGTTAAAAGGGAAAAGGGGTGTAGTAGTTTCCATTCATTTCATTAACAGAGGTGTAAAATTGTTGTTTATAGTGCTGCTATTCGGCTTTTCATAATACGTTTATTATGTACGCGTTGGTTTTTTATTGTCCGATATTTTTTTTTTTTTTGGCTGCACGAGTTATTATTGCCGTTTCGGAGGAAAAAAGAAAAAGAAAATAAAAAAGTGAGAGCATGTCATCATATATTGCTATTTGGAACTTAATATTCATAATTTTTGTTTGAATAAGAATTGATTAAACTATGTGATTAAGATGTAACCAAATTTGTTTTTGAAGTTTCATGGTATTTTTGGTCCAAAAAAAATAAAATAAATAATATATATATATATATATATATATATATATATATATATATATATATATATATATATATATATATATATATATATATATATATATATATATATATATATATATATATATGTTTTTATTTTTATAGAAATGCACATAATGATACCTATTATAAAACATATAAAAAAAAAAATTATCTCTCTAAGAAAATAACAAAAAATAAGTCAAACAAACTCTAAATCTCTATATCTCTCTATACTTAGCTCTCAATCGCTCTCTCTCGCTCAAGCTCGCGCCCGATCTCTCTTTTTCTCTCACTTTTATTTTTATTTATATTTTTATTTATTATTTTTCTTTTAAAAAAATATAAATTTAAAAACAATTATAAAATAAATAGAGATATATATATAGATATTTTTTTTATGAATTTATTTTTATCCTTTTATAGATATATGTATACATATATATATATATATATATATATATATATATATATATATATATATATATATATATATATAGATATATATAAATATAAATAGA